AGGAATGAAGAACAAAGGACAACATTTAGAGAATCACAAGTGACTGTGCAGATATGAATGGCTTGTTGTCTCTGAAACACATTGCCTATGACCTGTATAGATATGCGCATAGTTTACAATGCATGGATGTGTCTGGAAGTTGCACAGCACAGCTATTGGTGGGGAAAAATGGTAATAACATGCATGTTTTGATGTTTCAGCACTGAATGACTATATAGGGAATCTTCTCCACTTGTGAATATGCTCAGGGATGCTCCACATATATCCTGGAATATGTTCTGATTAATCCGCATTTTCTTGACCCCAAAACAAGTGAATTGTGCTCCAGTACCAGCATGCACTTACATCGCTTACTAAGCGCTTGATTAAGCGCCCGTTGCCGAAGCGGAGTTGTCGACAGGCCGGAATTCCGGCCTGTCGACGACTCCGGTCACTCAAAAGGGATTTTGGAGCACTCCCATTGGCTGGAATGCTGACAAATGTTACCTTTTAAAGTAATCTTTCAATCTCAGCTCTTCATGCCGAGTTTTTTGATGGCTTCAAGCCACACTAACTGAGCTCTTACTAGAACCCCATTAAATGCGGAAAAATCCCAAAATATTGCTTCTCCATGGAATGCCCCTGAGTACTGACAGGGGTGCCCAGATTAGAGGTGTTCTTGTTGTTTTTTCACAGAGTACTGACCTTGGCAAGTGATACTGGGGATATAAGCAAATGTTGGTGTGTGTATGATGCTAGTACAAGACAGTTCCACATGTATGGGCTCTGTGAGGTGGAGGATATCAAACATACAAAACTGCCATATATGGTTAGTCCCCTGCCCATTTGGGAAGTTGGCCATGCATGGCCTCTGCAGGACTGGATAAATAGCAGGAAAATCAGAGAAAGATTTGATAGTACTATGGATTTGTATTGGGTTGACTGTTGAGGTCATATGGGAGAAAACATATGATAGTGCAGAATGACCCATGCATAGCCTGATACAAGCCACTCTGTCAGTGAGTCTTGGTCCATCTTGTAAGCACCATTATCACCTGGAATTCTCAGGGACTGGCAGCTCCAGACAGGATCCCAGGCTATTCTGTTCAGTTCAACTCTTCAATAGGCCCTGTAAAAATAGGTTATTGGGCTGAGTTTGAATGCAAGCCACAAGCTCATCAGTGACACTGTATTTACTGTGCTATGGTCTCCCAAAAAATCAAAAACAATTGGGAATATTCCCAGTCATGTCTATGATGTCAGAGAGGCTGTACATAGTATGCCTTCCCATGGACTCATATAAACATGGCACCCACCATTCACAAAGCAAAATAAAATACATATTCCTCTGTACACACTGGTTCTTTCACTTTGTTTGTGTTTCCTGTGATGCTTGCCAACTGCCTATGGATTGTGTGGCTATATGAGACCTGAATGAAACCTGCCATATGTGGTACCTGACCTTCTCAAAATGGAAAGTCCGAGTTATCTGCTGTGTCTGGGCTCAGAAAATGCGGATAAAACAAGGGAATATTCTGTATGATTCCACTCACCTTGTACTGCTTGCTATAAGTATTGATTGGCTCATGTCTAAACCCTTTGGCAGGCAATGGCATATGCAGAAAATGGTGAACACCTGTGGCACAAAGGCCACAGTTAATGCTGAGTATGTTCATAATATTGGCTTTGTCTCACATGTGAATGGCATAGCTATCAATATTATGGGTTTGCAGAGCTTGATGACACAGTACTGATCCTAGAAAGTGATAGAAAGACATTGTACAAGTTGTGTTGTGCATCTACTACTGTTGCTAGAAAGTCTATAGGCTAGCAATGTCATAAAGTAGGGACACCACACATAGGTGATCAAATGCTTTGATGGTCTCTGCAATGCTAGATAAATGGTAGGAAATGAGATAAAATCAGCTGACTGTTGTAGGCCAATGCATGACAGTACATCTCAGATGTGCTCATGCAGAGTTCACAGCCTGATGTCTGCAGCTCTATTGTCCCAGTCCAGTATAAGCATGTCTTTGACTGATTGTATCAATATGAAGCAGTGCCAATTATACAGTATGATGGTGCTATGCTTGGTTGTTAATTGCTCATATAATTTTTGCCTGGAGCATATCTAATGTCTGTATGCACTACCATCATCCTATTCTCATGCAATGGCCCTTGGTATGTGAAGATAGAATAGGCAGCTCTTGGTTTGTTCATATGGGAAAAAATGTATTGACAGTGGTGTCTGTTAGTGCAATGTCTACTATCACTCATATTGCAGTGTATGCTGTGATTTCTTCCTGATTGGGCTCAGAAGAAGTCATGGTTGCCATGGAAATAATGCAGACTTGCATTGCTTACTAAGCAACAGTGAAGAGGGCATATTACAATGGACTTCTGAGCCAATATATGGCTGTCCTTTTATGGATCTCTAGTCAATAATATGACTTTGGGAGTACTCTCATTTGCTGCAACTGTTTCCTTTTACATGTGATGATGAAATATCAGCTACTCATGTTGGGTCCTTTCATGTTATATGGAAAGTGGAAATATAACACTTTAGACCCAGGTGTGAACATGTGTGATATTTGAACAGCATTGGAAATATGTGGCAGTGTGCCTACCAGTACACCATTTGGCAGTTGATCCTGGGCAGTATCTGCGCTGGAGTAATGTCAACATGAAAAATATATTGTCTAATCCAAATATAGTACCATACATTGTATGTGCACACAAAATAATGAACAGTCAGCCAGAAAATGACACTGGTGATTATCTTGGGAGTATGTCTGAAGATATAGAAATCCTTGGACTTATGATCAGAGAGCATGACCATTGATAGTAGGCATTACTAGAATACCCAGGAAAGGCCCATATGCAAGTCTTAGTATGCAGTCTGTTGTTAGGGACAAGGCATTGAAACCCCTTTTTCTACAAGAAATTCCATAGATATGGTCTTTGAATAGGGTAGGCAGCAGGAATTGTTATCACTCCTGGGCTTTGTTATCTTTATTCTAGATCCTTTTAATGGACTTCATTTGGGGTTCACAATGCTTTCTGACCAGATTTCAGTGATCTTTTGTTCCCACATTGTTATTCTTTGTGGCACCTATTGGTGTATGTTCTGACTGGACTATTACCAAGTTTCTAGTGCTCTCCTTAGACCCCTTGTGACCAGATGCTTTGAAAGATATTACTGGGGTTCTATTAGCTCAGACTATGTTATCTATTGATATATTATCCCAGCTGGCAGGCAATCTATGAGTGACTAGTGTTCATAAGGCTGTGCTAGTGTTTCAGGACAACATGCAAGTGGTGTGTCATGAATCACAGAGCACATCCTTGATGATCAGTGAGAATTCTTGGCACATCTACCCTTGCCTTACAATGAGCCTGTGAGCTTATTGTGCATCTTGAATGGCCTTGGAAAGTGGTGTACTGAGTCTTCTACTATTTTGTAGGATTCTATGAAGTATTTTATGTAGCTAAAAGGCTGTGCATAAATGCACAAAAGGAGCATCCCTATGAGCAAGTCCAAACATTTATCTCATCTACCACTTGCTTCTGTACTCTTATGCCAGTGTACCTTCAATTCATCAGTGATCAATCCTGCCCATGACTCTATCAGTCTTGATGGCACTTACTATGGTGATACATTGCTTCACATTGTACTACATGAGCCCATTACTATTGACTCAGGAGCTGAGCTCCAATCCAGTAACATACCTTAGTATGGCTTTGTACTACTGGTCAGTGTCTGGTAACTGTTCACTTATGGTGAGAGCAAACTGCACATCCTTTGGTTGTATTCCTTGTATAACACATCAATTCTTGACAGGCCTTTTTCAGAATTCCTTACTGGTATACTTCTCCTCTGTATATTGGTTCCATCCTCCACTGTTGATTGGTTTGGACTTGGGGAAGTACTGTAAACAATCTACTGAAAGACATCCTTTGGTATCAGAATTTCTCTGATCAAGGGCTAATACTTGTACAACAGCACTGACAGCAAGTCCCAACTGAGTAGTGGTTACTGTAGTCAACCCCCCAGATTCCCCTTCCTTGGGTTCTAGTTGATCTAGAGGCTCTCCTTCCTTCTTTGCAACATTCCCAAGCTATTTGCTCTATGTTACTATCAATACAAATCAGTAACACTGCTCATTAGTATTCAGATCATATTGATAAGCAACTTGGCAATTTACCAAGTAAGAAACAGATCCATAATGTCTGTTGCTCATGATTGCAAGCTATGATCCTCATATGACAACAACCTAATAAATTAGCAGGCTACTCTGAAGTGCAAAATGTGGAAGATATGTCAGTACTCTATGCATAGACAATATACTAGCAGTCTTGCCAAGCATGACTTCTGATGCGGGCAGCATGAAGTTGTTCATAAATTGACATGTATCCTACCAAAGGGATCGTACTGCCAGCTATGGCCCTCTCCCCAGCAAGTAATATGTTTCATCCAACTCCGCTTTGTCTTGACAACCAAGGCAACATTTTCCTTGCGGTGAACCCTGCTGTGGATCGCCGCACCAAGCATATAGAAATCTGTTATCACTATATTCGGGAGTTCTACGAACGTGGAGAAATGGAGATCTACTACGTTGCAAGTGAAGACCAACTTGCTGATGCCTTGACCAAGAATGTTCCATTCAGTGGAATTGAGAAATTCAGGTCTTCAGTTGGCATGATGAGATACTTGACATCTTGAACAAGTGGGAGTGTTGAACTTCCGACTTTCCAGTGTTATCTTATCTTATCAGTTACGTACATATATGGACTTGTGTTCTGCGATGTAGTATTACATACATTCTTTTGATGGACTCTGTCTGGACTCATCTTGTGACTCGCTCCAGACCGATCTACACTGTTCCAGACTTATTCTGGATCATTCCACTCCCTTCCGGCATGTTCCATGACCTTCCAGTACATTCCTTGATCACATGGACGCTTATGCATATCCCTATCTCTGGAGTTAAGGCTTACTCATTTCTCTAAAACTCGGACTTAGTGATTACTGATCTGCTTACTGATGTAGCATGTGATCAGTCCCAGACATGTATATATACTGGGGTGATTCCCCCCTAATGGATAACGATCTCTCCTCTCTTCTGCCTGCCTAGCATCAGAGTCTTCCCTCTGGGATAGGTCTGTTCACTCCACTCTACTGTCCTTCACTTCCACTGGCCTAACAAGCCCTTCTAAACCTCTTTCACTTCAACAGCTTGTCCATTGGGACAATGTTAATAAAAGGGCTTTCTACTACTCACCACTGATGTGCAGTGATTTTCAGTGTTTATGTCTTTGGATTATAGACTACTGTTGTAAACAGTCGAAATGAGTGTTCTCGACAGTACCGGGTTGAACACTCATTTTCAGTGGGACCAGAACACCTGGGATGCACGTGTACCCTAGCTAATAAGCTTGGTCTGTCCCCCCGGTATGGCAGGCTTACTTAGCTATTAACACGCTTTACCCACACACTGCCAATAGCACTGCCAATACCGCTCACGATTCCCTAGTAAGGTAAAGGCCCCCGGTATTGCTCTGATCACTGAGATAAGGCCCTTTGGCGCTGTAGATCGCGTGGACGCCATCTTCCGCCGGCGCCACCACCAAGGCACGCTCCCCCCACGGCACCTTCCGAAGCGCGCCCATTGCTGCTTGCCGCCCCATCACGCGTGCTCATCGCCGCCGACAGCAAGCTCGACATTTCCCATCAACCTTCACTATCTGACTGTCGCTTTTGATACTGGATTGTTCTACTCTATTGTGACTACACAACACGACTGCGTACGGTGAGAATGCCCACTTGTTAGCAAAATGGTAGCCATTACATAAGCATGAACCACACGCCGCCAGTGCACAGCGGCGCTTCGTCTGTTTGTTGTCCACTACTACACCAAGCTCACTCGCTGGCAAGATGGCGCCAACACGTTGCAAAGGCTTGTCTCGACGGGTGAGGATCAGCGCAGCTTCTACCTCTGCCCCCTATCCAGCTTAAGACAGGACCGTTGTCACTCTACAAGGGATCAGACAGGAGAGGCGAGAGACGGAGGAGAGGAGGGCAACATTGACAGCCGGTATGTGATCCTCCATCTCATGTTTCCATGGGGTTGCGGACCTCCTTTTCACTATGAGGGTTGAGCGGCGCTGACAATCGTGCACTGGCCGAAATCCGGGGTGAAGAGCTACCGCCCGATGAGAGCGGTGCCGATGTTGACATGAACCTAATGGCGGGTGTAGGTGCTGAGGCAGAGGACGACTGGGAAGACGAGTACAAGGGTGGAGACACATTCCTCCATGCGTTGCGGGATATTTCGGGCTCTAGGTATGTCGGCGACGACTTCCATGCCTCTCGGCTTAGCCATTGCTAACCCTACGTTCAGCGTCGAGGTGTTCACAAAACTACTATGTCGTTATTATCAGGTATGATCAGCCTCGTCGTCGGTGCAGTAACACTGACAATTCCTTTGAACTACAGGTACCTTTCCAACGCCGCATACACATCAAGATCGCTGACGTGTTCGAGATCTACTTGACCATCATGCGTGAAGTTGATAAGCGGGTGCAAGCAGCTGTGGGTCGGGACTCTCCGAACTGGTGTGTGCTGTACGGATGTCCGCCTTGCGGGTACAAGGTGAGTTGCATAGTTATACAAGACTTAATGTTGATGATCAATGCTGTGCAGCTTGACAACGAGCCCAATATGCGATGGAGCCGCATGCTCTGTGTAGACGGCAACAACTCCCTCAAACGCCTCGCAGCCCTGAGCACACGGAAGGTTGGTGATGCGCGGGTATTCCACAACAGTAACTACTACATCCCGGACGCCTTCGTCAACCGATTCACGGGCAAGATTCGTCCTCAGCAGCCACAACCAGAGGCCAGTGAGGTAGCCGCACCCGAGGTAGCCGCACCCGAGAATGCAGCCCCGCTCACAGGGGAAGTCGTGCTGTGAGCAGACGATGCAGACACGACTGCCATGGCTGCAGACGGTGCCGATGAGGAAGGTGATCCTACTGATGGTGTCACTGACGTTTCCCTCTGCACGACCAACTGGAAAGCAGCAGCGGCAGACAACAAGAAGAAGTCATGGGCGATGTTTGACGAGACCGGGATCTTCACCACCGCATGCCGACATGGCTTCGTCTTGTGGTTGATAGACATGGTACGGAGTGGTGAACTGTAAGTCGCCAGGACCTATGCTTCTGTCGTAAGCTGACCGAGAATGCCAGCGCAAAGTACCCGCTTGCGATGACTGCGAAGATACTCGAGGTCTTCAAGGAGAAGATCCTATGTGGCTATGACATCGGGTGCACATTCGAGGGCACCGTGAGGCGCAGCTCGCTTGGTGCTGAATGGATGTGAAGTGGCTCGTGGTTCTGCGTGAACGTGTTTCATGGATTGACAGGCGTAGTTGTGCGAGTAGCCAAGAACCATCCTAATGTCATCCCCAAGATGGGGATCGAGGACCTTGAGACACTTGAGCGTGTCTTCAGTGCATCAAACAACCTCGCACCAATCACACGATACGCGTCGGCATATCGCCGACGTCTCTTCATTGAGGAATTCTTTAGACAGTGGGACAAAGGGAAGTACACAAACCTCAGCACGATGCTCTACAACAACTACAAGCAGGCCCTTGACATCATCGACACGGACACCATTGGCCTCGACGAAACAAAGCGAGTGTTCCATTTCAGTGCCAAGGACATGGAGAAGTGGTATGAAGAGGAGCGGCAGTTCTTCCTCACTGTGGGAAAGGAAAGGGATGACGACTTACATGTGATTGCGTACGCAGAGCTGCTCCAAGACCTCCGAGCTCTCGAGAGCCAGGCAGCAGGGGCCTCCTCTCATTTCGCTTGCCGCGGTTCCTGCTGACTACAACTCGTCTGGTTCGAATGGCTCGGGCACTCAGGCCTACTATGCCGTGGCAGCCGAGACGTGTCGCCTGGAGTCAGAACGGCACCTTGTACGCGAGCGTCACGATCTCATCCACCATGAGGTCATAGCCATGGAGGTAAAGCTGGGTATCAGTAGGCAATGGCAGGCTGGCGACGCTCTGTACGACAGTACAATGAAGTATATAGTGGAGCGGAAGTATCGCCAAGCCCTGGAAAGCCTGCAACGGCTTGTGATCCAGTGGCTCTTCGAGCTCCATAAGCTGAATCCGGGGACAGGTACGTGCATCTTGACTTTGGGCATGCTGTTATTGATGTCATTCTCTTTGTTGGCAGCATATCGCGTGCGCACTCACATTGCAAAGTCACTGCAGACTCATTGCAAGGCCATTCGGAATGCAGTGGCGAAGTACAACTTGAACTCTGCTGCCTCTGCCCTCAATCCGCCGCGCCCTACGCTCAACTGGTCGAGGGTCTCGCATTACAGCTTCCTCGAGGAGTTCGAGCTGCTGCAGGATACTCGCAACAATATTTGCGCCAAGCCTTGGACCGAACCTGCGGTCCGTGAGGCAATGAAACAGGCACGCCGCATTACTCACGCAGAGGAGGAACTTCAGTGTTGTCATGTCAAAGCCCGCCGACTGCACACGTTCGAGCCTACTGAGTAAGATTTGACATTCCGAACGGTAAACCCGGAGTGAGATCTGGCCGTCTGAAATGGTGCGGCCGGCGCCAGCCGGAGGGGTCTGGGTCAACGTTGCAGACATTGTCATTGCCAGCACGTTGCCAGTGGTCCGGCCGGAGTGCATGCCGGCCGGCTCTGCCTCGTCTCCAACGTTGCGGCCAGCCTTGCCATCCCTGAATACTGTCCCCAATGATGCACCCGGCCTGTTTTCATGGTACGTTGCAACACTCCGGCCAGAGTGCATGCCAGCCCCGCCGCCCTCCTCAATGTTGCGGCCGGCCTGTTTTCACCGGACATTGCAACGCTCCGGCCGGACTACACCCCGGCTGCCCCCCCCACTTCTCAACGATCCACCCGGCCTCTTTCACCCAACGTTGCAATGCTCCGGCCGGAGGGTATGCCGGCCAGTCATCCCTCGTTCCCAACGTTGCGGCCGGAGCAGGCAGAATTCAAAGTGGCCAGGCAGTCCACGCTGCAAACAGTCCGGCCGGTCAATAGATATAGCATTGCAAACGAGCTGGCCGGCCTCAGGCCCTACCACTACAAATGGTCCGGCCGGACTTTTTGCCGGCCGAAAACACAATGTCTCGGGCCGAGGGTACAGCCAAAACTCGGCCAAAGCAGCCAGACATTTTGCCGGCCGAGCTTTTGCTTCACCGACTCGGGCCGAAAAGTTGACCATTTTCTCGGGCCGAAGATTTGAGTACTGCCTCGGGCCGAAGAGTTGGGCATTTTCTCGGGCCGAAGATTTGGCCGAAGCTCGGTGAAAACAGCCGGGCTGTCAGATTGCCATATAAGGAAATTTGGTATTGACTAGTAGTACTTCATTGATAGACTATAGTATCAATTCCCTAGTGACCAAAGATGTCTAGTTAGGCCAGGATGTGCAAAACAAGATTTACTCACAGGCTTCTTTGCACAGCAAGCTAATCAATTTCTGAAGCCAGTTTTCTTTTCCCACACTGTTTGACTATCTAGGATGTGTTGTTTAAATGCATAGAGTATATCCCCAACAGGAATAGTCTTATTCTTTGAAGCTGAATGCAGGACAACAGATAAGGGGTATACAGGTATGGTACCGTGCTGAACAATGTTGACTCCTGCAGACAATGTACATTCAAAACACTGTTTCACAACCTCTGATGGTTCATTTACCCATAGGGAGTGAATCCTCCAAAGGAACAGTCTTATTCACATAAGCTGAATGTAGTACAGAGTTAAGGCAAGGGTGTATGGGTATACATGTCATACTGTGTTCACTTCCTGAAGCTAATATGCTTTCCCCACAATGTTCCACAATCTAGAGTAGCACATTTCAATGCAACAAGCAAGTCTCCCAAAGGAATAGTCTTATTCTTTGAAGCTGAACTCGGGGATGAAGATAAGGTGAATATGCATTATATTGTGAAAGACATACTTTGGATTATTGTCTGTCTGGGTGTCACACTGAAATGTTGTACCAGCATGCACATTGCACTTGCCACAGAAACATTTACATTGGTAACAGTCTGGCCGGCCAATCCTCATCCTCATAGGAGATGGTCCGGCCGGAGTGCATGATCCCCTTAACTCTGTACCACATTCAGCTTGTGTGAATAAGACTATACCTTTGGACGACTCACTCCTTGTGGAAATGAACTA